GTGTTAGCATTGGAGAGGCTAGAGACTAGCATGCCTTGGCTGCTCACCTACTTTATTAGACAAACTTTTTTGAATAAAGAGAACTTTCTCAACAAAAATGGTTGATGTGCAAAACCTATGTTTTGAAAAAAAGCCAGAACTATCAAATTGGGACTTTTTTTTACAGTTTTTGACAGGGTATTAAATTAGGCTTCTCAATATTGAATTATAATTTATAATGTCATATAAAGATTTTTCTCATAATTTGGCTAAAGAAAAAAACAAAAAAACGCCGTTGACCAATAGACAAGGGCAAACACAGCTGCTAATTCAAGTGGTGACTAAATCGGTCTGCTTCACAGTAATGTTTAATATTTATGCTTGACGTCATGTTGAACAGTAAATTCTGTCTAAGGGACACCTGTCAGTGCATGTTGCTTACAGGTTTTGTATGTCCACCATTAATTTGTTGAGAAAGTTTTCTTTATTCACAAAACTTCCTGTCTAATAAAGTAGGTGAGCAGCCTAGACATGCTAGTCTTTAGCCTCTCCAATGCTAATGCCAGCCTATCCCTGCCAGTGGACAGTGTAGGGAAGTGGCAACACAACGGGTCACTAGCCTAGGCATGCTAGTTGCTAGCCTCTCTGATGCTAACACAAATGAATGGTCTCCTCACTTGCCGGTGCCAGCCTATCATTAATTAATCAGATCCAACAGCTGGCTTAGAAATAGATATAGCTTCATGCTACAAGGATGTAGCAACCACTGATTGAGCAATAGTCTTAATTTTGGCCCCCATTTCACGCCATGTACCACAAGCTAACAGCTGGTCCAAATGGAATAAAGGAATAAAGTGGACTGCTGCCATCTTTAAATAACTCCAATCCTAAAATGATCTTTTTGTGTTTCATGTGAGTGCTGCTCATATGCTTTAATGTTGTCACCAGTTTCCCATTAGTAATTGGAACAGACTTCTGCAGCACATAAAGTACACTAAAAGCAACACTTTCAATACAACTTGATGTCAATTTTGTCATGATTCTGCTAAAAATCCTGAAATTCTGCTAAAATCTTTTAATCTTGGAGTGACTCAGTTTTAAAGATGGCAGTCCTCTTTGCTCTAAGCTGCTCAGACTAGCAGTTAGCTCATCAGTGTGGTCAAAACTTAACTGTTTCTACAAAACTAGTTATCTACAACAGGTAAGATATTAGTTATTCATAAACATTTCTGAGGAACCCAGTTCAAAATGGCCTAAATATATATTTGAAACGTAATTGATGATTTTGCTGCTTTATTTGTTCGCAGTGGTCATATTTTTAACATATTCATTAAAAGTTGTAGAGGTGTCTGTATTTTGTTTGTTTCTTTGTTCTTCTTCTGAGCAGCCAGAGAAGCGTTTTAGCGACGCGAGCACACAGTTAGCAGCAGCAGCAGCAGCAGAGCAGGTGACGATGGTGTTCCTGCAGAGAATCACTCATGTTTCATGTGGACCCCGTGCAGCCCTGACACGACCTCTGCTCTGTCTGCATTTCACCCGTGTCTGATATCTCTGTTCACGTCAGTCGTTTGTTTACATGTCTTCTTGTTCTGTTTTTGTCCTGTCATTCAGTTTGACTCCACCCGCTCCTCCTCCCCCACCGAATGTTGCCACCTTTCCCCCTGGAAGCGAAAGGTATCGGTCCTGCCCTCCCTTCCATCTTGGTTTTGGTGTCCTCCTCCTAACACTCGACCTGTTCTCGTTCTGTTTGCCGCCGTATAATTTACAAAACTGTTTACTTTTCAAATGCATGTCCTCTGAGAGCAGCAGCATCCTGCAGGG